ACCCTAAGGGAACATCAGAATCACTAAGTAACTTTTTTTTTTTTTTTTTTTTTTTTTTCAGCTGGAGTCTCACTCTGTCACCAGGCTGGAGTGCAATGGTGCGATCTTAGCTCACTGCAACCTCCAATTCCCTGGTTCAAGCAATTCTCCTGCCTCAGCCTCCAAGTAGCTGGGATTAAAGGTGCCTGCCACCACACCCAGCTTGTATTTTTAGCAGAGACAGGGTTTCACCATGTTGGCCAGGATGGTCCCGATCTCCTGACCTCGTGATCCACCCTCCTCGGCCTCCCAAAGTGCTGGGATTACAGGCATGAGCCACCGCGCTTGGCTGCAACGTTTTTTGTTTTGTTTTTTTTCCTGAGACAGGGTCTTGTTCTTTTGCCCAGGTTGGGATGCAGTGGCATGAACACAGCTCACTATAGCCTTGAACACCAGGCTCAAGCAATCCTCCCATTGCAGCCTCCTGAGTAGTTGCAACTACAGGTGCATGCTAATATGCCCAGCTAATTTTTTTTTTTTTTTTCATGAAGGAACTTTAAAAATATACTGATGTCCACATCCTAAGCAGCTGGATTAATTGTTCTGGGTGGGTATGAGGCACCAGTATTTTTAGAAACCTGCTCCAGATGGTTTCTAAGGTACATCCAGAGTTGGAAAGAAGTGCTACTAAGGCTTGCCTTGGGAGGTGCTGCCCTCCACCACCTGCTGCTGTGAAAATGAGAAGAGACTGTGGAAATGTGGGACTAGCGCTGGAGGGCCCAATCCCAGTGAGAAGCCCTAAGATGTCAGGGTGGCCGTAAAGTATCAGGAAAGGCAGCCCTACCCCAATTGTGTCACACAGCCCCACTCTTTTTCACCAACCCCATCATGAGTGACACCACAGACATATCAGAAGGAAATAACCAACCACTGCTCCCACAGAAGGCAGAGCAGGGAAGGGCAGAGAGGAGCCCCCAACACTACCAGAAGCCCAACAGGTGCTGGGAGCCCTGGTCTGTGCCAGCTTGGCCACAGACTTCCCGGTGGCTTTGAGAGGTCACCTTGCTTTCCTGAGCCTGAGCGTTTTCCTGGAAGAGAGAAGAGCAGGCTAGTGCAGTGGTTCTCAACCCTAACTGCACCTTAGAGTCACCTACAGAACACTTAAAAATACTGAGCCTCAGGCCCTATCCAGAGATTCTGATTCCATTTGTTCTAGAGTGGTCTGGACATTGTCATTTGGAAAAGCTCCCAGATGATTCTCATGTGCAGCCAGGGTTGAGAACCCTGGTCTAGTGGATTATCAAGAACCATCCTGTGGTTCTCTTGTTTCCATTTCTGGGGTGACAGTCATGGCCTGAGCACTCACAAGGTGCTTAGCCATCACACAGCCCCTGCTTCACACAGCCCCTGCTTCACACAGCCTGTGAGAGTGCTGACTTGGTGCTCTCTGCAAATGCTAAGAGGGTCAGTTCTCTTATAGGAATTGAAAACGGAATTGATTCCAACCTCCCTGACACCAGATGAGACCATGCTGTCCTATTCCACAACCCCCAGAGGAACGTTTTATTCTCAATCTAGTTGTGCACAACTTATAAGGTAAAGCACCCTCTGGAGACAAATTACTGCTGAGAAAAGAAAAGGCGGTTTGCCAGCAGGCAGCCAGCTGGAATAGGAGAAGGAACAGCTTATTGGGTCTTGGCTAAGGCCAGCACTCTCGGCACACTCCAAAGAGAGAGGGAAAGGGCTTTGAGGCTGTGGCATGTGCAAAGGGCATAAGGAATGGTCCATGGAGAATGCAGATTTAGGTCCCCCCTCCTTTTTTTTTAGACAGGGTCTTACTCTGTCACCCAGGCTGGAGTACAGTGGTGTGATCATGGCTCACTGCAGCCTCAGCCTCTCAGGATCAGGTGATACTCCCACCTTAGCCTGCCAAGTAGCTGGGACTATATAGTTGCATACCACCCTGCCCCGCTAATTTTTAATTTTTTTGTAGTGACAGGGTTTTGCCATGTTTCCCAGGCTGGTTTTGAACTCCTGAGCCTGAGAAATCCACCTGCCTCAGCCTCCCAAAGTGCTGGGATTACAGGAGTGAGCCACTGAGCCTGGCTGACTTAGGTCTTTGACTATTGGGAGTTGGGCATCTCTGTATCTGGAGCCCACATGGGTGAGAAGATAGTGAGACCCCACAGGTTGCCATTTGAAGGCTCAGCATAACTGGCCTAAGCTTGGGGAAATACCAACCTGGAAATAAAAAGAGCCAAGGAAATGGGTGATAGGCACTGCTGGTACCTTTAAGAAGCCATGCTGGTTGGCACAGTTAACTGGAAAGTTCTATGACAGCCTCCCTCCTAGGTCTGTCTCTTGCCTCTATTTTCCATCCCTGGTCCTCAGCTCCTATTTTTAGTTAAATCTCCACTAATCCGTCCTATAGTAGAGAGAACCCCCAGCCCTGTGCAGTTCTCACCCTGAATGCTTCCACCTCCCGACTCGGGATCACAGATTGACTCTGACACTGCTCTCTGATTTTCCACCTTGGCTTTCCTCCTGCCAAGCTGTACATGTGGCAGCCCCAGCAGCAAGGGAGTGCACATTTTACCCAGCCTCAGGCTAGGGTGGCTGGGCCTAGGTCAGGAAGTTTCCAGTCTTCCCTTGAAGCTGAGTCCCTCCTGATGAAAACAACCCACACCTGGGGATCCAAGGAATGTTAGCCTTTCTTGGCAAATGAATTGCTGTGCAGATGGGTCTCTCAACTGGACTTGCGGGAGTGTGTAGTTATTTTGCTGGATAATCTATGGCAAATGATATAAGAGCAAAAACTTATCATGACAACTAAGGTGCATTAAATGCCAGACACTGCTGCGTTTTGTCTCCATTACCTTACTTTACCTTCACAATAATCTATCCTCTGTGTACCTGTTCTCCTCTGGGCTAGACTTCAAGTGGAACCAGATTCCTGAGTTCCCTTGATTTTCCTCCTGTGCCCGCAATTTCAAATTCCCACACAACTTCTCGACACAGTCCCTCCTTAGTCCTCAGAGGACAGCGGGGAAAGCAGGCAATGACTAAATTGGGAGTGGAGGGCACGAGGAGAATCAGGGGGGCGGTGTCAGCTGACATTTTTCTCCTAGTGGAAAAAACCCCCGGAAGGCTGGATGTAGCACAAACAGTGCAGTCTGCTGCTGCCATCTAGTGGACGAAAGGAAGTCAAGCTTCGGAGTTAGACCAGATGGCACTTCAGACACCAGACCGTTTTAAACATGTACCAAGTTCATAGCAACTATCAGGATACCTGCAGCAGGTCTCCATGCTAACTCTTGTCCCCATCTTCCTCCCTAGAATGATCTAGCACAGGTCTGCACAGAAGGCATCCCTGATGCTGATTATCTGGCCAGTTACAAAAATAAGCCCAGAACTAAGACCTGGCTCTGCATCCCTTGGCTTCCTGAGCATAAAATGCTTGGCTGATAAAGCCTCTGCCGCTTGGACTTCTGAAGTGAGCGGATCTCAAGCTCAAATGTGCATCAGAGCCACCTGGAGGGCTTGATGGGCCCCACCAGCTCTGGAGGGGTGGGGGTTCTGATCATTCGCGTTTCTTTTTAAAAAATTTAATTTAAAAATTTAATTTAAAAATTAAATTTAAAAAAACCTCTTTTTGAGGCAGGACCTTGCTGTCACCCAGGCTGGAGTGCAGCAGTGTGAGCATGGTTACTGCGGTCTTGTCCTCCCAAACTCAAGTGCCTAGTCCCCCATTGAGTAACTGGGACTACTCATGCACTACCATGCTTATAGAGATGGGGTCTCACTATGTTGCCCTGGGAGGTCTCAAACTCCTGGCCTCAAGCCAGCCTCCCTCCTCAGCTTCCCAAAGTGTTGGGATTACAGGTGTGAGACACTGTACCTGGCTTTTTTTTTTTTTTTTAACTTTTTTATTTTTAGATGTGGGGTCTCGCTCTGTCAGTCAGGCTGGAGTGCAGTGGTGCAATCATAGCTCACTGCACCTTCAAACTCCTGGGCTCAAGTGATCCTCCTGCCTCACCCTGCCCCGAGTAGCTGGGACTACAAGTGCACACTACCAGGCCCACCTAATTTTTAAATTTTTGTTGTTGTTGTTGAGACAGAGTCTCACTCTGTTGCCCAGGCTGGAGTGTAGTGGCACAATCTTGGCTCACTGCACCCTTATCATAACCTCAGCCTCCCAGGTTCAAGTGATTCTCCTGCCTCAGCCCCCCAAGTAGCTGGGACTACAGGCATGCACCACCTTGCATTTTAAAATTTTTGTAGAGACAGAATCTCACTATGTTGCCAGGCTGGCATCTGCATTTCTAACAGGTTTGCAGGGTATGCTGATATTACTAATCCAGAGACCAACCCTGAAGAACCACTGTCATGAGTAATTTAATCTCCTTGGTGTGAGAAAAAGTGAGTAAACAGGCATGTGAAGGGAACACAGAGCTTCTATACAATACAAGCCAAGACTGGAATACTTTATCTGTTGAAGGCACACAAAGGAGTCATGGACCTCAAACCCTAGCAAGGCTGAGGGGAGGATCAGATCTGACTCCGTTGTGGCTCCTCCCTGGGTCTGCCTGGTATTCCCAGGTCAGCATGAAAGTACCTGGTGAGGGGTCAGAGAGCCAGAAGTTGCTGTGGAGGGGGAGTAAGTCAGTGGAGAAAGGAAGAGTCTAGGCCATATTTGGCCAAAGGTAGAAAAGCACTTTTCTGAATGGAATGTGATACCCTGGGGAAACTGTAAGAGATCTTAGAGGTTACCTCATCCAACCTTCACTTCTAAGATGAAACTGACTTAGGAAGGCTAAATGACAAAGTCACACACAGTTACTTGGTAGCTCTTGCTCTCCAAGTTCCCAACCCGATTCTTTTCACAATCGGGTCCCAAAGAAACCCCACAGGGTCAAAATTTGTCCACGAGACAGGTTGCTTCCATGGTGGCCTTCAGTTAGAGTCAGGCCAGCGTTCATGGCCTCCTTGGTCTGTGTTTCCCGCCCACTCTGTTCTCCTACCTTTCACCAAGGGGAAGAAGCAGTCCATCTCCACGCTGCTTCGGGAGTGTGAGATGCACAGGGCACTGCTGGGGACCAGGCCCTCCAAGGGCGGGCTTCGTTCTGTGGTACGGACCAGACACCAACCGGGCCGCTCGCTGGGCCGCTCCAGCAGCTCCACTGTCTGCCCCACCTGGATGGTCAGCTCGGTGCTGTGGCCAGCACTGAAGTCCTGGAGGACCACGGTCAGCTCACATCCGCCAGAGAGCTTTGGTGGGTGGTGGTGGAGGAGTAGAACAGGAGGGCATGGAGGAAGGGGGAGAAATATGGGAGAGAGTTGGTGAGAGTGGACGAAGGATGTGTGAGAGCAGAGGTGAGGAGGAAGAAAAAGGGGAAAAAGGGTGAAAATGGTGTGTAGGGTGGGGAGATGGCAGAAGATGAAAAGGAGAGTTGAGAACAGAAAAGAAAAGAAGAAAAAATGTAATTAGCACAGTGCTATTCAATCACTCAGGCTTTCTAGCTGCAGCCACAGTCTGAAGCCTGCCCAGAACCAGGGCTTTGATTCTAATTCCTCTTGCTTCGTTAGAGCTCATTAGTCCTTTGCCAAGCTTCAGCTAATTGTGCCATTAAACCCCTTCCCTGTATGCCCCTTCACTCCTTCCAAGGTTTCTACCCTGTGCCCTGTCTCTGCCCTGACCACCATCCCTCAGGCTCCTATTGTATGGGCATCTATTTCAACTCACCCCTCCCACTAGATTCTCACTAGTTGACAGGGAATAATGGAAGAGGGAACCTTCCTTCCTTCTAACCCCTGCAACACCTCCCATCCCCATTCCTTACTGGAACCATCAGCCTAAAATTGAGGCTATGAGGACTACAAAAAGAATGGGGCTTCAACTCAAAGGCAGAAGTAAAGCGATGTCTGTCTGGGAGGAGAAGAGCCTCAAAGGCTCAGCCACTGGGGACCAGGAGGAAGAATGAGAAGGGAAGAGGGGCCACTTCCCACTTAGGAACAGTCTCCAACCCCTCATGCTCCATGCTGGCTGTGCTCCACACTGGCATTTTCCTACTGCACTGATCCTGGGACAGAACCAATAAAATGGGTTGACAGGAGCAATCCCTACTGGCTGAATGCTGAGACTTCTCACTTTTTCACCCTGGGGATTTGGCCCCACTTCCTCCTTTTCCTCTGGCTTCACATTTCCATGAGAACCTATTTGGTTATTAGTTTGTCTCCTAGAACTAAGGACAGTCTCTGTCTTGGAAGAGCAGTTGCACTTAGGGGAAGAGTGACAGGCAGGGAAGGGAAGGAAGGAGGAGGCTGAGAGGCCGAGCTTGCTAGCCTGTTATCCTCTAAAGTTCACCCCAAACGGCAGTTTGGAGGCAAAATCCCTGCCCCACCTCCAGGAAACTCGACTTCAGTCTGCACATCTCTGATTTAAGCCTTCGGGGCCCAAATGTTCTGCACCAGTGGCCATATTAATGTACTAGTCCAAATATGTTGTGTAGCTGTCTCACACACATTCTGGGAAGCTTCTGCCCAGTGGCACCCATAGTGAACATCACAGTGAGTAGAGAATTAACAGTCCCACCAGGACTAAAAGTTCAGCATTAAGGACCATGAGAAATTTCCACTAAAGGGACTTTGATGTCAGAGGGGGCTTGAAAAATGTTAAAATAATGCATCAGACTGATGTTGGCAATAAGCATCACCACCAGTCACAGGACAGGTAGTCATAGGACCACCATTGGGATCAGATCAGGAAATCTGCAGGACAGAAGGTAGAATGTGCAAGGAGACAGAATAAACAACATTTTTCCATTTAACTTTCCTGGTTCCATTAAATGCACAGTCCTCCCCCTTCCCCACCCACACTCTCCTGGTGCTATCCTCCTTAAAAACATCATATAGAGAAGGATATTGTGGGATGGAAATACTTCGAATCTCTAGAGTGCTTTTACAGTTAGCAAAATACCTTTATGTTAATTATCCATTTGGTCCTCACAGTAACAAGGTGGTACTATCATTTCCTCCTCATACATCAGGAAATTCAAGCTCAGAAATGTCAATATCAGTGGCTGGGCATTAAGTGTACATAAAAATAATGTAAAGAGCTTATAAAATGAAGATTCCCTAGCTGTTCCTTCTCTTGCTCCACCTCCCAGTCACACATCATGATTCAGTAGGTCTGCGTAAGGGTCCAGGAATGCCTTCCACTGCCACAGACAGGGTCTCTTTCTGACACAGGCTGGAATGCGGTGATGCTATCTTGGCTCACTACAGTCTCTACCTCTCTGGCTCAAGTGATCCTCCCACCTCAGCCTCCTGAGTAGCTGGGACCATAGATGTGCAGCACCACACACAGCTAATTTTTAAATTTTTTTGTGGAAACATGGTCTCACTATGCTTGTCTTAAACTCCTGGGCTTCCCGTTTCAGTCTCCCAAAGTGCTGGGATTCAGATCCCAGAGTGCTCTGTAAGAAATACACTTCACAGTTTGACAAGAGAACATTACATGTGAATAGATATATCACTGAAACACAAGTTCCACTCTGACATTCTATTTTATGTTTTTCTCAATTGCTGTTGACATCCCACTAAATTGATTCCACCTCACTAATGGACTCTGTAGAATGCTGGCCTAGATGACTGAAATTCTTTCTCGCTGAGAGACTCTCTCTCACTGAGCTTCTGTATCTCAGTGGAGCTGCTCCTCTGCAACAATGCCAGGGGCTCAGGGTTGTTTCTTGAGGCCAAGCTCACACATGGCGGGGGATGCCACTTGCAGCGGGCGACATGGTTGGGTCCAGGGATGGGCGTAGTCCTTTTGCAGACTGTTAGGGCAGAAGGGGCCTGAAGCTCTAGTTGCAAACAGCCCAGCATGCCACCCAGGTACAAGACCCACTGCCCCCTGGGGTGTGTTACCATCAGACCCATGAGCTGGACAGAAGAGTATAAAGAGCCAGGCTTGTGTCTCTACAATTCAAGATCCAGTTCCTGGAGAGAAGCCTGGATACGCCGCTAGATGGCAGTGTTTGCCTCCTGTAGGCTGCCTAGTCCAGACAAAGGAACAAGTGGAACAAGTGGAAACACGGTCAATGGGCAATTTCTTCCATGCCACACGTTATAGATAACTGGGCTCAAGCTTTACATGCAGCCCAAAAGCCATTATGGTTCAAATACAGGATAAATATCCTGGTTTCCTTCACTCAATGGCTTGATCAAAAAGACCAGGTCCCTACCCGACAAGAAGGAAATTCGAAAAAATGGCTGACAAGGGAGGGTGCTGGGGAAACGGATGAGTGAGGTGTCAGGCAGAGCTGCTCCTGCAACAGTCTCTTCTTATCCTCTCCTCCAGGGAAGCTGTAGGGTGCAATGCTAAGACCAAAGTTATTCCTACTCAGGGAAATGCTGGGAGCTGAGTAGGTAGCACAGAATCTCAGCATGCATTCAGGTTATGTTTTTGATTCTTCTCTGATCTTATACCCCTGCTTCTGGAATCTTCTCTCATCTTATTCCCTTCACTGAATCCTCCCACTCCAGCAGCGAGTCCCTGTCTGGCCTTTCATGCCTGAGTCTTGGCTGCCTTCCTGGAGCTCTCAGATATTTTCTCTGCCTAGTTCCCTAGAACCCTGCCTAAGGCCTGCTAAGCCTTCTTGATGCTAATTGTCTGCCCGGCTTCCCTCCAAGTGCCTGCTGCTGAGTCACCATCTAACTCCTTGTTCTTACTTTCCCAGTCTCTCTCCTTTCTGAGCCCGGGCCATTCCCAGTGGGGCCTGTTCCTCTGCTGACCAATCCCTGGGTGGACATGGCCTCTTCCACCCTCTGTGATGTTTCCCAATGGGACAAAAGGAGCTCCTCTGGTCCTCACTTTCCTCTAGCTCCACATTGATAGCTGTGTTGCCTTCTTTTCAGCATGGACCACTACAAACATAGGGGACATTTTCTAACCACTCTTTGTAACTCCATCTGCCTTTTCAAAGTTCTCATTCACATTCACCAGAAATGATCACTTTCATTTAGGTCTATTTTTACATGATTAATATTTGGAGATTAACTGAACCTCCTTCTTGTATAAACTGTGTGAGCTAGATTGTCCCTATGAGCTTTTTCAGGCTATGGAAAAGACACAGTTATTCCCTGATGGTTTCCCAATGGTATCCAGAGAGCAAGGACAGGACGCCTGAGGAATTCTCCTGTTGTCATTTCAGAGCTTCCATTTGTGCGCCTCTGTGTCTCTGTTCCATTCTCTGAGGCAGCATAGCCTCGTGGTTTACGGCATGGACTCTGCAGCTCCTCACCAGCTGTGTGACCAAGGGCAAGATACTTCACCTCTTTGTCTCAATTTCTTCATCTGTCAAATGGGCATAAAGACAGTACCTACTTCATAGCTTACTGTGAAGATTAAATGAGATAATACTAAAGCATCTAAGACAGTGTCTGAAGCAGAGAAAGCTAAATGATTGTCTGAAAAATACATTCTGAGCTGGGTGCAGTGGCTTGCGCCTGTAATCCCAGCACTTCGGGAAGCCGAGGTGGACAGATCAGGAGTTCCAGACCAGTGTGGACAACATAGTGAAAGCTTGTCTCTAGTAAAAATACAAAAAATTTAGCCAGGTATGGTGGCGCATGCCTGTAGTCCCAGCTAATTGGGAGGTGGAGGCAGGAGAATCATTCAAACCTGGGAAGCAGAGGTTGCAGGGAGCCGAGATCATGCCATTGCACTCCAGCCTGGGTGTCGCAGTGAGACTCCATCTCAAAAAAAAAAAAAAAATTCTGGAGATATTAGTGAATTATTATTTAAATTTGGGAGGAAAGGAGTAAAGAAGACATTTTAAACATCAATTTTGATGGCATGTGGTTTGAGAATAGACTGTATCAACTGTATATATAAATATATATTATTATGTAAATGAATCCAATTTCTTTTCTTTTAAGTAATTTTCATGGAGTTTTCCCCTAACTAGAAGAACTGACCCTGAAGCTGACTAGGGAAGGTGACTCAGAGCTCCCTCAAATCGGAGCTCCCTCAACTTTCCTGTTATGATAAAAACAAAGGCATGGTGGAACAAAGGTTTCCCTTATGGAAAATCAGGATTCACTTTTTTTTTTTTTTTTTCCAGCCAGCACCAGGGAGAGAGGATTCACTTTTGCCTCTTCATTCTGCATTGCTGTCCAGGAGGCTTCCATGTGAAGAAGCTCCCTTACCCCTGGGCCTGATACCTGCTCTCAATACTTGCCAACTGAGCCTTCTGATAACTGTGAAT